GGATTTCGTCTTGCGCGCGCGAATGTCCACTTTACCTTATTTTTTGCAAGGGATTCTTGAAATTTGATTATATTAGAACAAGAAATGTCATTTTCTATTGTTTTTTGCAAGGGAAAGCGGATTACAACAAAACAACCGGATCCTGTACACACCCTCTTTTCTGAGGCTTCCTCACGAAAATGATGAAAATGTAGCTGCGGCCTAGGCGGCGCAGGGGGGGCGCGCACCAGGGGGCCCAACAATAATTATTCTTTAGAATAAATAATGTTCAACAACAACTACTACAACAACAACAACAACAACAACAACAATCACAATCACAACCACAACCACAACCACAACCACAACCACAACCACAACCACAACCACAACCACAACCACAACCACAACAACAACAACAACAACAACAACAAAACGCCATCGAAAAAATTGAAACGTCCACGCCGAACGAACTTACGGCCTGCATTGTTCCGATTCCTGGGTTACGTCCGGATTTTTCTGAGGCTGGGGAGGCCCGAAAACTCCACCGTTTGTCGGGCCGGTTTCGGGACCCCTGCCACTGACCCTCCTCATTTCTCCCCGCCCGCCGCTGGAGGGAGCGAGCCCTCTCACCACTCCGAGCGCGGGCCCTCCCCCCCCTCACCTCCCCCAGGTTTCCCAAATGGCGTCCGAGTAGACGGGGTCGGAGGATCGCGCCGCCATGGCGATGCATCGGCGACACCGACCCGGGGAAAGTCGGGCTCCACACCGAGCCGCAGCGCCGATGCATCGGCGATGCGGCGCCGCCCACCGACCCCATCTGATTCGACGGGGCGGCCTGGATCCTCACCCGGGGTGTTGCCAGAGGTGCCCCTGGCCCGAGGTCTCCCCCCGCGCTTCTGGCCATCCTGGGGGCCCCCTGTGGGGCCCCCGACGGAGCCCCCTGCAGGCCCCCCACCCGGGGCCCCCCCGGACAGCCTGGGGCCCCCCGGAGCCTGGGGGGGGGCACCTCTCTGGACCTCCCGGGGGCGCCCCTGCACCTCCTGGGGGGGCACCTCTGCACCTCCCGGGGGCCGCCCTGAGCCTCCCTGGGCCTCCCCGGGGGCACCTCTGGCCGCGCCCCCGCGCCCCCCCCGCGCCCCCCCAAGAGATCCGACGCTATGATTTGTTCCATACGCGATCCCCGGAAACCTCGATCCATTCCCCAGGACCAGTTTTTCATCCTAAGTCGTTGTTTTACGGTCCCGAGGCCCGGCGAGGGCCCCTAGGGGCCGAAAGTTGCGAAAAGCCTCCGTCGTGATTTTTCCAATACGCTGGATCTCTTGGCCCGCGCCCCCCCGGCGACCGCTTCCGCTTCGCCCGGCGGCCGCGCCCGCGCGCCCGCAGGGTGCCCTCGCGAGGAGCGGGCGGCGGGCGGGCGCGCGCCCGCGCGAGCGCGCGCCCGTCGTGCCGACGGCCGCCGGGAGGGCCGGGAGGAGGGGAAGGGCTGCGAGGAGGAGAGCAGGCGCGGGCGAGGAGGGAGAGAGAGGCACGAGGAGGAGGAGGCGGAGGCGGGGGCGGAGGCGGAGGCGGAGGCGGAGGGGGAGGAAAAAGAGGACAGGGCAGGGGGAAGAGAGGAACGACGACGGAAACGACGACGACGGCGACGACGACGGCGACGACGACGACGACGACGGACGACGACGACGACGAAAACGACGACGACGACGACGACGACGACGACGACGACAGAATACCATGGAGTTTCATGGGATCGACTGGGATAGGATGGGATGCGGGATGCGATGCGATGGGATGGGATGGAATGGAGTGGATTGGAATGGAATAGATTGGAACGGAACAGAACGGAAGGGAACGGGAGTAGGAAAACCGACAGGCGGCGGTGGTTCCATTACGTTCCGTTCCACTTCAGTCCAACCAACTCCATTCCGATCCATTCCATTCCATCCCATCCAATCGAATCCCATCCCATCCGATCCCATCCCGTCCTATCCCGTTCCATTCCATTCCGCTGTCGTCGTCATCGTCGTCTTCGTCGTCGACTTCTTCGTCGTCGCCGTTTTCGTCGTCTTCGTCGTTGTCGTCGTCATCGTCTTCGTCGTCGTCTTCGTCGTCGTCGCCCGCCGTCGTCCGTCGTCCGTCGTCCGTCGTCCGTCATCGTCCGTGGTCCGTGGTCCGTGGTCCGTCGTCCGTCGTCCGTCGTCCGTCGTCCGTCGTCCGTCGTCGTCGTCGTCGTCGTCGTCGTCGTCGTCCGAGGCACTGCCGCGTGGCAAGTCGAGTTGGTTGTCCCCTACCCTGTGTTCCCACTTGGCGAGCAAAATAGAATTGAATGTTTCCGCCCCGCAGCGTTGCCACGTGAAGAGCATTGCGGAATAGCAGCGTTTGGCTCCCAGGCGTTGCCACGTGGCAAATGGAGTGGGCTTGTAGTTCTCTCGGCCCCCCCGGTGTTGCCACGCGACCAGTAGAATGGAATACTCTTCCTTCGCCACCCCCCCAAGCGTTGCGGCGCAGTGAGCGGAGTGGAATAGTATGTTTTGTTCGCCCCCCCGGGCATTGCGACATGACGAATAGAGTAGAATAGTAGTTGTGTTCGCCCTCCAGGCGTTGTCACGTGTCGAATAGTGGAATAATATGTGTTCTGCCCCGATGCGTTGCCATGTGACGTGCAGGGTGTTCCATTTCCGCCGCATTGCATTGCATTGCGTTGGATTGCATTGGCATTGAGTTGCGATTGGGTTGCATTGACGTGCAACGCATTGCGTTGCATTGCACTCGCCAGATACGAGTTGACCACCGATAAACGCCAAAGTGGCTAACCAGCCAACCGATCAACCAACAAACCAGCACCTACCAACAAACCAGCCAACCAGCCAGCCAGCCAACCAACAGCCCAACCAACCAGCGAACCAACCAGCCCCTCCCGTGGCATTACTGAGGAGTCCCACACCGCGGGCCCGGGGTTGGAGCTTTTGTTACTGGCAGCCAGCCAACCAACCAACTAGCTAACCACTCCAGAAATATATTCTCGACCTAGCAGCAAGCCAGCCAACCAACCAGCCAGCCAGGCCACACTTTGAAGCATTGTTGGAGGATGTCTCACACGGCAGGCCTTGGAATTCGCCGGCCCAACGGGCCAGAGGCGTGTTAAGATCTGTATTTCTAATTCGCGCGCGCGCGGCGGCCCCTGGGGACCCCTGAACAAAAATTCCAGGAGCGCGCCAAGAGGGCACCGGGACACCCCCTGCACGGCCCAAGAGGCCCCGAGTCGCCGAAAGATCGTTCCAAGACGCTCAAGATGGTCTCCAGATGGCCCCAGAGGCCGCGAAAAAGCCCCAAGCGAGCCTCCAGAGGCTCTACAAGAGGGCCCCAACAAGCAAATATCGCCCCCTTCCCTTCGGAAAACGTACATGTTCCGCATGTGCGACGTTTGGGGGTTCACAGCGTCCAGAACTGCCCCAGAGGCCTCCAACATCGCTCCCAAGATGCACCCAAGAGAGCCCGAGAGGGCCCCAAGACGGCCCAAGATGGCCCCAAGACAGCCCAAGAGGCGCCCAAGACAGCCCAAAACGGCCTCAAGAGGGGTCCAAGAAGGGGACCAGGAACCGAAGTCCAGCCTTCAGCCCCAACAGGCCCCCAGGAGGCCTCAGGAAGCCCTCAAGAGGCCCCCAAAAGGCCCAAACACGGCCCCCGGGAAGCCTCAAAACTGCCTCCCAGAGGCCCCCGAGAGGCCGACCACGAGAGCCCAACCAGCATGCATGAGGCCTCTGACCCACCACCCACCGCCTCCGAAAAATGGCAGCCGCCCAACGGCACCGCATTGACAACAACACCCCGACAAACGACAGCGGCGAGGCAATATGGGCCGGCGGAATGAGCGAAGCGATTCGATAAAGTTTTTTGACCCAGAAAGAATAAATTGGCTTACCCGTTCTGCCCCACCTTCCCTTGCAACAAAAAAATCAAGAATGCACTTTGCACCCGAGTCTGGATCATGCGCGGACACCCCGCGATCACTTTGCTCTGGTTTGGGTCAGGGACGGCCAGACGTTGTCCCAAAGTTTGGCCACAGGCACTTCCAAAAGGCAGGGGGCGGCGGTGGTTTGCCGTAGGCGCGCTGACTGGTGTAACTCTTGTGTCCCTTCAAGAGGTGGCCAGTGGCCTTCAATGTCTAGAAAAAACGCCACGATTGACATTGCCCCACTAGAAACAAAGACGGCCCAAAAAGATCTCCGAGACGGCTCAAGACAGCCCAAGATGGCCCCAAGACGGCTCCAGAACGGCCCAAGACGCCCCCAAGACTTTCCAAGAGGGCTTCACCGAGACCTCCAGAAGCCCAACGGCGCCGCAAGATGGCCCAGGAGAGAGCCCCATGCGGCCCCCAAGAGGACCCGAGGGGGTCCAGAAGGAGCCTCAAGAAACGCCCCCAAAAGCGGCCACGGCAGCTCGGGCCGCACGGGGCCCACTCGCAACACCGTGCCGACTCACTACATTCCACCACACACTTTTGATCTGCGGGGCGAGAGCCCTTCCACCACACACGCGAATCGAGAAGGCAGGGGGCGGCGGTAATTCGCTGGAGGCGTCTTCGATGCATGTGCAACTAAAGGCTACAAGGAGAGGCGGGGAGAGAGGGAGAGAGAGAGATGAGGGGGAACGATGATAGGGGGGGACCGGCTCGGGGGGGAGGGGGGGGGGAAACATCGCCCAGGAATCAGCAGTAGACCCCCGAAAGCGCATCCGCACCTTCCCGGGCGGGGTGGGCCATCAGGCCCTCCTGATCGGCGATGGGGTGGGCGATGGGAGGTCGACGCACTCCCCCCCTGAGTGAAGGGGCCCCAGGACACACAAATAAATACACACAAATAAAAATATTCCGCATATTTTTCCAAATTTTCTGAGTTTTTGTCTTCCCCCCCACTGCCCATATTTTGCCACATATTTTGTGTGTGTTTTTTCCCTCCTGACTGAGCCCATCCCCCCCCTGACGCTGCCCCCGAAGAGGGAGGCACTCCTCCTGGCAAGACGAGCCGGCGCGCGCACGCCGCGCGCGGTAAATTCAGGCTGCTGAGCCTTCAGAGCACGCTGGCCAGGGGCGGCCAGGCCCAGGTCGGGCATGTCCCCCTGCAGGGGGACTTCTTGGGCGAAGAATCATGGCCAAAGAATGCTCGCAAAGTCGCCAAAGAATGACCAAAGAATGCTCGCAAAATCGCCCCCCGATTGACTTCTCACTATATTTGAATACTCCTCCTGCACAAGGTCGGCTAGGCGTAAGAGTGACCCTGGGTAAGAGTGGCCCTTGGTGCGCAGCTTTTGGGGGCGCGAGTGAGCCAAACCCAAGGGCGCGGGCCGCTTATATCGCATCGCGCTCGGCGATCGGGGGGAGCCCGATGAGCCCGCACCAAAGGTCACTCCGGTGAAAGGTCACTCTTACGTCGGGAGCGGCAAAGAGGGGGGCGTCAAAGAGGGGGGGGTGCAAATCATGACCAGCGGCATGTGCGCGGCCCGACGGGGGGGCCAGGGACGTAATGAAATAAGAAGAGGCGCCATGAAATCTGGGGAAATATCATGACCCGCGCCATGATATCCACCCCCCCCTAGTCATCACCCCCCTCTTTTCCGCTCCCGATTACGTCTAGTCGACAAGGACAGGCCCGACTTCAAGCCGGGCCAAGCCGCCCCCTGGGGGCCCCTGGAGCGGGGACTCTGCTCGGGACGCCGGCGCACGCCCGAGGGGGCTGCGGCCGTGGGCCGAGACACCCTCCGCCCATCGCGCTCTCCCCCGCCCGGGTCCGGCAGAGGCTCCTCGTCTTAGGTCGGGCCTGTCTCCCTACAGGGGGATGTTCGGCGAAAAATAAAAATACCCCAAAAATACCCCCAAATTGTCAAAAAAAAAAAAAAAAACAAAAAAAAAAAAAAAAAAAACTCAAAAAATAGTCCCCAGACTAGTTTTGGACAATTGTTTGACGATTATTGGGGTATTTTTTATTTTTCGTCGAAAATCCCCCTGTAGGGGGACACGCCCGACTTAATCCTCGTCTGCAAAGTCCTGGTTTCCGGGGCCCCGAGGGGGGGGAGGACGCAAGACTCGAGTTCGGGGGACTCGGCGGTGGACAAGCCTCCCTCTTCGAAACCGCCCTGCAGTGAAAGCGGCCTGGGACCGAAACCGACGGACCTGGGCCCGCAAAAAGGACGGCCGCGACGCCCTCTCGCGGAGCGAAAACGGCCAATCCGCCAATCAACGTGTCAGGGTAGGAGGTCGATCAACCTCCGAGGGACGAGAGTTTGTCCGACAAGGCCGTCAGACCAATGACGAGACTTGGTCTGAAGTCTGGTGCGAGAACCCCCGGTGCCGACATCTCCCTCACATGGGACCTTCTGAAAGAAACCGAGGCAGACCCGAATTCCGGCAAACTCGGGTCTTATGTCTCTCGGGAGCGGCCAAGAGGGAGGTGTCCAAGAGGGGGGGGTGCAAATCATGACCGGCGGCTTGTGCGCGGCCCAGCGGGGGGGCCAGGGACGTAATGAAATAAGAAGGGGCGCCATGAAATCTGGGGATATATCATGGCCCACGCCATGATATCCACCCACCCCTAGTCATCACCCCCCTCTTTTCCGCCCCCGAGTCTCCCCGATGGTTGGGAGGGGGGGGGCGAGGGCCGGGATCATCCGGCATCGCCCACGGGCGCGAGGTCGTGCTGCGCGAGGTTGGCCAGCAGGTACCTCACAAAGTCCTGCACGAACGGCGAGGCGCGCGGGTCCTCGCGCCCGAGCAGCTGGCGCGCGAGGGCCAGCACGCCGCAGCGCTGCAGAGCGGGGCACACGTTGGCCACGTTGGACATGTTGGCCAGCAGGCCGGTCGCGCGGGCCACCACCTGCGCGAGCTGCCACGAGGTGCCCCTGGCCCCGGGGTGCCCCCAGGATCTCTCCAAGGTGGCCCTCACGGCCCACAGAGGCCCCCCCCCTCGAGAGGCCTGGTTGAAGGGGCCCTGGGACACACAGATAAATGAACACAAATAAAAGGATTCCCCATATTTTCCCATATTTCCTGCATTTTCGTCTTCCCCCCCACTTCCCATATTTTCGCATGTTTTCCTGGGCATCGACGCTTAGCTGTCTCTGTGTGTTTTCTCCCTCCTGACTGGAGGGCGTCAGATGGGGGTGGGGGCCTCCAAGAACGGAGCGAGAGCTGGGGACACCTGGGGACAGGGATGCCTCTGGCAGCTCGCAACGCCTTGGCGTCGCTCGGGAACCGCTGCAGGGCCGACGCGACCGCCTCGTGCACGCCCGCGCCGGCCATCAGCCTGATGCAGAGGACCGACCGCGCCGACAGCGCGAGCAGAGCCGCCAGGCCAGCGGCCTGCATGGCCGCGTCGTCGGGCTGGGCCTGCATGTGGAACAGCAGCCCCCGCATACCTCCCGTGGCCACGAAGGCCCGCTTCGACTCCTTGGTGTTGTGGATCAGGCTCACCAACACCTCGCAGGTGGCAACAAAGAGGGCGGCCGACATGGCCGACGCTGGGAACGCGGTCAGGAGCGCCACCAGGCCAGGCATGAGCCCCCGCAGCGACGCGAAACTGCGGAGAATCCGCCTCAGCAGCGGCGATCGCCGGCCAGAGCGCTCGCGCGGCATCGGCAGGCGATCACGCAGCGCCAGGCTGTGCAGCCGCCGGAGCGCCTCGCACGCGGGGCGTTGTCTCACTCTCGGTCATCGCATTTATTGTCGGACCCAGCATCGGCATCATCACGGCCAACGCCATCGTCACCATCGTCGCCGACATCGTGGCCAGCCTTTCTTGTCGCGCTTATCCACCTGTCAACCTTCGTGCAGAGCGCAGTCATCGCAGCCACTGCTAGTGCCACCGTCATCAGCGCCAGCCCCATGAAGCACCACACCAGCAACAGTGGCTACTTGGATCACCAGCACCGTTGCTGCGAGTTCCGCGGTGCACATCAAGATCGAGCCTGCTATCAACCAACATCACCGCGGATATGGTCCCATGAAAAAGTTCCCACACAGCTGATATCTCACCCTCTCTCTCTCTCTCTGTCTCCCTCTGTCTTTGCCTCCCCCCCAGCTCTCCAGCAAAGGAGAGGCCCCACCTCGCACACTGGGCCGGCCCCCACGTCGGCCAGCCTGGCGGCGCGGCGCGGCGCGGCATCGGCTGCAGCTTATACCCCCCGACAACTGCCGTCGGGCAATTGTGTGTGTGCCAGTCCCGCTGTACGCGCAAGGATAATGCTGCACCCATGCACGGCCACTTCGGCATAGCGAGCTGTTCTCGAGGAAAAGGAACCGTGGGGCGAGGGACCCGCTGTGAAGGGCGCTCCCCAGAGAACCTAGGCAAGACACTTTGATCATTTGAGCGTCTGTAGCCACAGGATCTCAGACAACACTTCCGATGAATAAGACAAGACGGCTTGGAACTGGTACCCGAGTCAGTCAATTCGAACCAGGGAAGGGCAAGATCACAGGCGGAGCGGAGGCAGGAACGAGAGCGCTGACACACAGCCAAAGAGATTTGAACAAAATATTGAATAGTCCGCCGACGCCCGTATCCTGAGGGGTAGAAGGTGTGTGAGATAATTGGCTGTCATCCTCCCCCTTTTCCCCATCCCCAGGGGTCCGAAATCCCGTTAGGAGGAAGGGGGGGAGGACGAGTTCACCAACGCACCTCCTGGTCTCCCGAGGCATCCAAATGCACCATCCGAGCCTTCAATATGCTGAACCTCCAGAGCACCCAAGATGGCCTCAAGACGGCCCAAAGGGGCCCCGAAGCCGCCCCAGGAGCGCCCCGACAGAGCCCCGAAGAGGAGCCGATGCCCCAGCCTGGGGACTCCGACGAGCGCGACGGCGACGGGAACGGCCGGCAGTAGGACTGCTCTGCCGCTCCACCCCGAGGCATGCCGAGGCAGCCCACGTCACTGCTCACAAACGTTCAGCAGCACCACTCCACCACGCGCTTGCAGTCAGTTCTCCCCCCTTTCTTCTTCCTCCCCCCCTGGCTCGTGTACGTTCTGCCTCACAGTCGTGATACCTTCAATTTTCCTGCGTCGCAGGTGCAGCAACTGCAGTACAGGGCGACGCACTTTCTCGCCCACGCGCCAATGCGCGTACGGCTTCTTGACCGCTCGAGCCGGCGTCGTTTATCTCGGTACCGTCCCTCCCCACCATGCCGAGCGAGCATCCTGGTCGTCGCAGCTCACCACCTGCAGACTGCCCGCCGACTGCGGCGGCGGCCTCGCCGCCACAGGTCACGCTTCCTCTACGGGTCACAGCGGCCCCGCGTCGATCACCGCACCGCTCCCCTGCGGCGCCCTTGCCGCCGCAGGAACGGACGAGACGGGGACGCGTCGGGCACCGATGCCTCCCCTGTTGCGTGCGGGCCCAAGAGCGCCTCCTTCGGAGGTCGGCGGCGGGGCCAGGGCCAGAAAGACAGGGGGAGGAGGAGGAGGAGGAGGAGGAGGAGGAGGAGGAGGAGGAATAGGGAGGAGGCGAGGTAGGGACGAGGAGGAGGAATAGGGAGGATGCGAGATAGGGACGAGGAGGAGGAGGAGGAGGACGCTGAAGCTTCGAGCGCTCGCTTCCGCGGCGTGCCTAAGAAAAGGAGGAGGACGAGCTGCATTCAATTCCGGCGCTTACCTGCGCTGCGCGCCGCCTCCCGCTCACAATTGCTCTAAATGTCTCGTCGATGCGTTTGCCAGCACCTCTCTGGCCGCTATGCAATACGGAAGGCGTGTGAGAAATAGCTGGGGCATGATCGAGGAGAAAAAAATAGCAGAGAGAACAAGAGGAGGGGGCGAAAGAAAAGGCGAGGAGGGAGGAGGGAGGAGGAGGGAGAGAAGAAGAACGGAGGGATGGAGGGACGGAGGGGTGGAGAGATGAATGCACGGAGGACGACGAGTAGTTCCGCTTTCCAGGTTGCCCTGCGCCTCATACGATGCACGCAAACGTGTAGGTTGATCGCATCGCATGATGCACAGCCTGGGACGTGGAGCGAGAGGGCAAGGGCCAGGGCGAGGGGATGAAGGGGTGAAGAGGACAAGGGAGGGAAGCAGAAAAGAGGATGAAGGAAAGGGGGGCCGAGGGATGGGGAAAGGACAAATGAGCGGGGAGAAAAAAGGGGGCGAGGGGAGAAAGGCGGACGGGACGAGTTTAGCGGAGGCTGCAGAGAGAGAGAGAGAGAGCGAGAGAGACACGGAGACTGCCACGCCTTGGGTGCGCTGCCGCGTCCTGGCGAACGGGTCCCACCACTCTAACCCCGGCCTTCTGCCAATCGACGCTAGCCCTGACGCGCCCCATCGTGCTCCCCGTGACGTTTCCCCTCCTCCTCCTCCTCCTCCTCCTCCTCCTCCTCCTCCTCCTCCTCCTCCTCCTCCTCCTCCTCCTCCTCCTCCTGTTCCTCGTCCTCCTCCTCCTCGTCCTCCTCCTCCTCCTCCTTTTCATGTTTTCCCTCGCCACCGACGTCCTCCTCCTTCTCCTCCTCCTGGAAATGTGGCAGGAGCCTTTTCCCTGGAGGGAAAAAGCATCCCACCAGCCCTCTGGGCGTAGGTGGTCTACCGATATTATTTCATTCCTCTTCCAAGAACCCCTCTTCCCTTTTTCGAGGAGGGGATTATCCCTCCCCCTACATCCTCCCCTGGGTTTCTTGGGGGGGGGTCGCGGGTGGTCCGAAGGTCCTTTTTCGGCCCCTGGGAGGGCAAATGTTTTACACCCCCTCTTTTGACCGATACCCTCCCAAGACGGCCCCAAGAGGCACTCCAGGGCTCCCAAGAGGCCCCCAACAGGGCCCAAAGAGCGTCCCAAGAAGCCCCAAGAGGCCTCCAAAAGACAGCCGAGAGGCCCCCAAGAGGCCCCCGAGAGGCCTCAGAGAGCCCAAAGATGGCTCAGCTATCCTAAGCTAGCTCAAGATGGCTCCCAAGATGTTCCAAACTGCCCCAGGACCGCTCCATGAGCGTCCAAGAACGCTGCAAGAGAGCCCAAAGAAGCGGGTTGCCGGCTCATCATGTAAAGGATGGCCTCCAAGATGATCCCAACAAGCCTTCCACGGCCCCCAAAACTCCCAGAGAGTACCGCAGCAGCCGCAGCTGCAAGAATACCTCTAGATGGTTCCAGGAGTCCTCGTCCGCGTCGTCCTCATCCTAGTCCTCGTCCACCGCATCCTCGTCCTCATCCGCGCCCTCGTCCTCCTCGTCCTCATCCCCGTCCTCCTCCTCCTCCTACTTATCCTGTTCCCCTCGCCCCCACGCGGCCCCCAGGGATGGCCAGAAGAGGCCTTCCAAGTCCACCCCCTTGCTCTCAGAGATCTCTCGGTTCACCCTGGTTGCTCGTTTTGTTTCCCTCGATGTGTTTATTTGTCTTTTTTTTCCCGTCAGCTCTCATGGGCAGGGTTTCTGAATGGGCTGGTTGGAATATGTTTTTGATTAGCGGCCCGCAAGGAGAAGTCCAGAGGGCGGAGTGACCGAGGTTGGGGCACAGCGCAAGATAATTAGCGCGAGAACGCGCGGATGCACATGCAAAACAAATTGGAAGAGAGGCGACGGGTTGGTGGGAATACGCGAAGCATGAAGAAATTGAGCCAAAAAGGTACAGACCCTCATCCGTTCCGAGGCTCACGCACACTTTCCACGACATGTGCACGGCGCTGTTCCACTACAGTTATACACCTGCTCACCCATTCGGAACGGACGAGGGTGGGGACGGGTGAGACATGAACCGCAAAAGCGATTGGTCACGGGTGAGTGAGAAACACGTGGGCAGCGCAACAAGCCAGAACTCCACCCTATCACATCAAGTTAGATGGTAAAGTCAGTCAAAACACAACTGGTGCAAGCGGAAGGCGACTATGTATCGGGCGTAAACGCGCAAGGGCCTCCTAACACGCGAGACGTCATTTTCAGTGTCACAAAGCACCGAGTCATGCAAGATGCTTACGTATGAAGTAGTAGTGATATGAAATCGCACAAACGAGCACCTGGACCTCAACTAATATTGAGCGCAAATCCCCGGCAGAGCGGCTCGCGACGGTAACCCAGATATCGATTGAGCTAACACCCCATAGCCGCTGCCAACTCGTGTCTGATGTTGGCGAAGTGATGGTTCGCACCTCGAATACGCATGGACACGTAAACCCTTGCTCACACCTCACACATGTAGTTCAAGCATATGCAAGGTTCTCACGAGTCCCTACTTAGATCACTCGGACGCTCCCTCGTTTCACCTTCCCTTGTAACCAAAACTGGCAGATTTCGATGCGTCTGACTTTTCCAATGCGCGCCCGCTTGCAATGGCAACGGCTGCGTTTGCGTCGCTTTTTAGCGAAATGCCACAATCGACTTCAAAGTCCCTGAGACACGCTGGCAATCCGAACGCCACTGCGCCACCTTCAACCATTCCGTAACACTCTGCTTTTCCAGAAAATAATGCCACCACACTCTGGATTGAACTCCACTTGATGAAATGTGATCCCACATAACTACACCTCCACTCGTTGATTTCAGGGGGTTTTTGCAACCTGCATAGCCGGTTTGTCCACACAATAACTCCACTGGGTGTTCCTGGTACATATACTGGTACCCACACCTGCTGTGGTTATTGAAGTAGTTGCCCGACGTTGTAAGACTTGTCCATGTCCTTCGGGTTGGGGCTGACATAGAACGCGCAAGCTCCTTCACTGAAAACTGATTATCCGAACGGTCCTGCATAAGTAGCCCTGGCCACAAGAGATTGGTATGACTTGGAAAAGGCTTCTCGTCTCCTTCCTCGTAAGGTTGATTGTCACCTGGCACCCATCAGACATCTCACGTTGTACTGGTCCAGGCCTACCTCTTTGACTGGGGAATGTAGGGGGGGGGAGAAAACAAACAAAAAAAAAAAAAAACGGGGTACAAGTGCGTGGTCTGTGAACCTCCTGGGAGCTCCCAGAGGCCAGAGAGGCGCCGGGACGCCGCACGACACGCGCGATACGCAGGGTTTACCCTGTCAGCCAACAGAAGGTTCAGCGCACAGCGCCTCGCAATCCAGGGTACGGGCGAATCTTACGCCCTTACTTGACAAATATCTCAGCATCCCTTTGATCCAACTCATACCATATCCCATCCCGGTTCCGCTCCACGACTCGGATAAGAACCCTGACCGACGCAAAGCAGGTTGGTCCTGGCATGGGCCTGCCCCGAAACCTTCGAGCTCCTGTTTAATTGATCCTTAGAGCCAGTCTAGGCCAGCATCATTACCCAATGGGGCAAAATCATGCCCATGCACCGTTAGCAAGATTCGCCTCGTCTTACCTTTTTTGAACACTTTGATCTGCGGGGCGAGAGCGAACCTCTTCCGCTGAAAGCTAAGCGGGACGCGCACAGCTTTAATTAGCAAAGAAAGCGCGGAAGAAGGCGGGGCCTCACGCGGCCGGGAGAGCCCTTTTTTTGAACACACACACACACACTTGCCCGTTGTCAAAAAACATATCACGTGCAAAGTCCATGCAACAGTATTCCCAGTTGCTGGCGGTGTCTCGGGCGCCGTACATTGACTTCTCCTCCTCATCCTCCTGTTCCTCCTGATCATGTATACGCTCCTCATCGCTTTCATTCCTTTGGGCCCCCTCCTCCTGTTCCTGCTCCTGCTCACTGTGGATCACTCCTCATGCTCCCTGTTCACTAACTGGTGCCATTCTGATGTATGGGCGCGCTCAAATAGCGTTTACACGGAAGAGGCTCGCCAATCGAGCGCCGAATGTGTCACCAAGCTGACCAAAAGATCTGATCACCACCTTTGCCGTGAATCTGCTCACGGCATGGCGAGACAGTCGCTCGTGCGATACTCGAAATCATGCAGACCCCCAAAAAAGGTGATTAATAGCTGGTGTAGCGAGGGTTGGCTCGAGGCTGAAACACTTCTGCTAGGTGCCCACGAGTCTCCGACCAACAAGCCATCAACAACAGGTCAAAGCTTGGAGTGCCGAAGCGTGGAAAGAAGACAGATCCGGTCAGCGGCCCAGTAAATCACCAAACTAGACACGCTCCAGGAGGAGAACTTAGAAGACGTGATTGACAGCCCAGCGCGTCAAACAGGTAAAAGTCACAGTGGTGCACGTGCGTGCAGGGAAGTGCGCGCGCGCGTGTGCGAGGGAATAAACATGAATATGTGTGCGCGCGTCGGGGGTATGAAAGCGCATCTGCATCTGCATCTGCATCTGCAGATGTTTCGCTTCTGCATGTGGACATGCACCTGCATCTATACCTGTAGGTGTGCCCGTCTGTCTCTGCTGTAGTGTTCGTTCTGCGATACGCCTATGTGCGGGCGCATGTTTCTTTTTGAAGAGTTGTCAGTGCAGCTGCAACGATTTTTTTGTTTTGATCCGCGGGTCGAGAGCGCACCCCTTCCGGTCGAAGCTAAGCGGGCCGCGCACAGCTTGAATTAACGAGAGGGGGGCAGAAGGAGGGGCCTCACATCAAGGCCAGGAGAAGGCAAAGCCCCGGAATCAGGCGGTGCCGAGGAGGATGAGCTTAACGAACGAATTACACGCGCCTGCGGACGTTCGGCCACTGTCGCCGACCGAATCCTGACCACAAGGCTCCGACGAAAACTCTGCCAGTGTCGCCGATACGGTCCCGCTCCTAGGGTCGCGTGACATGGGCGTGGAAGTTCGCAGCCAGGGTCTGCACTGCCCCAACACAGACGATCTCTCAGACGCTGCACCCCACAGCGTGCACCCCACGTGGCGTCCCTGTGAGTTTGTTACTCCACCATATGACGGAGTTTCGGAGGTTTTCGGAGGTTTCTGACAGAATATTGTTGGGTTTCCCCTCCCACTCCCGCACAGCAGGCAGCATGATAGCAGAACGAGCAGGAAAGACGGATGTTCTGGAACTGTTTAGCTCGAGAGGCCGCTCGCGGAGTCAAAACGGACTCGCTTCCCTCACCCTGGCAGGCAGAGCCACAGTTGGAAAGAAGGGCGAGGAAAAGTGGTGCAAAGATTTGACACTTCGATTCGAGACGGTTGAAGACCTAGAGAGCTTCGATACTGATTGACGGTACCCATAAGTTGCTCATTGTGCGCTGTACACAATACTCTGCATTCAGGAAACGCGGGCTTCGCAGGCACGTCAGCATGATATCACGTGAGGCACGGCAGCAGGGATATCATATTTTGGCGCCGCTCAAGGGCCCGAACAAAGATCTCCCCCCGACGGCGCGCTGCGCGACTTGTGGCAAAACGAGTACACTGAGCACGCTGACGGCCTGGTCGAGGAGACTCTGTAACCCACCCGGGTATCAAGGACCACACCCGACTGGACCACGCCGTACATTTGCAGATTGTATAAGTATCGTGGACGATCATAACAAAGGTACTGAGATTCCTGGGAATCGTTGTCACGTCTTATCTCCATACCATGATGTACAACGTGATTCCGAACTCGAGTGTACGATCTGTAACAAGACTGCTCCAAAGCACAGGTTTGAATAAATTACTGCAGCCATCTTTCGTAAACGCTGATGTGACCAACATTGGAGGCAGAAAGTTTGACATTCTCTACTATTGAGATGTGATGGCTTCTTGGATGCAATATGAAGTTAAATATACTCTAGTGCTGAGATGTGCTGGCTTATACTTATTTGATTCACCACGGACGTGTGCCAAGGTGAACTACATCAGAGCAGAGAGAGGAAGATGCGGGCTTCGAAGCCAAAGCTTCAGCTGCTGAAGGCGCGATTCAGACTAATGCTCGGGTCAAGGTTACGGGCGCACTATAAGATACGTGTCGTCACACGTGTAAGCAGCGCTTTCCCCCCGGTGCTGTCCCCCCCCCCGAGCTTGCCCCCAGCAGAGGCCGGGTAGGGAGAGGAGGGAGGGTGTACGCAGGCGGGGAAAGGGGGAGGGAGGGGAGGAGAGAGAGATGAGAAGGGGTGAAGAAGAGGAAGACGACGAGGAAGCAGGAGGATCGAGATCGGACCCGTGCTTCGGCTGCTCCAGAACACTCTGGGAACCAGATCCCATCAAAGGGTAAGGAAAGTCCAACCTTGTCAAGGAAACATTCGGTATTTGACTAGTTTTTGCTACCTGAGTGTTCTCTTGGGGCCCTCTTGTGGTCTCTTTAAGCCGTCTTGAGGTAGTATTGGAGCCTCCTGGGCCCTCGAGGTCTCTCCAGTGGTCGGGCGGGACCCTTCCGAAGACACATGCTCTGAGGGAGCCAGGAAGAAGCTCTGGGAAAGATCCGGATGGGGAGCGGGCCCTTCACGCACTCTAGGGGTACCGTTGGAGTGGGGGGCCCAGGGGCGGTGCCCGTAGATTATTGAGATTGCACCCTGCAAGTTGCATCCCAAAAGCTGCACCCCGTAGATTGCACCCCGTAAGTTGCAACCCATGCTTACGAATCATCGATTGCTATCCCTGGACCCTCTAAGATGACTCCTACAAAGTGCACCAGCAACACTGGTACCATATGTATGTGTTTCTGCACATGTACCCACACATACATGCGAATGTGCATGCGTGCATGCACGGGAACATGAGCATGAGCATGTGAATGTGCAGGTACAGGTGCGTGATCGTGTGCATGGGCGTGTGCATGAACGTATGAATGTGCATGCATGCTGGAGTGTGTACACGTTCCCTGCTGCTGTACGTGCGTGTGTGTTTGAGCGGACCATGTACTTGGACACGGGAGCATGTATGCGTATGTGCACATGCAGACGTCAACATATGCGTATGCTCGTGCCTCCGTGGCCGTGCATGCGTGTGCACGTACGATCTACGTTTGAATTGCCCAATATAACGTGATCGCTTGGATGGCTGTTCGCCAGGTCGCCGACGCTAAGATGTGTGTGCGTGCTCATACGTAGATGTACGTGTTTAGCAGGACACTGGGGAGGGGAAGCGGGAAGGATGTCGAAGACTGGGAGCCTTCTTCTAGCACCATTGATTTGGCAAGGGCGCACCCCATGCTTCAGCTTCGCTTTGAAACGCCGCATCTAGTATGCGGCGGTCGGGGAGGTAGTATGGTGGCCCACTGAGGCGGGTGGGCGCGGTTCATATCAGGCAACGGGGGGCACAGGGAGGGGGAGGGGGGGATCGGGGGGGACATGCAGAGGGCGAGCAGGAGAGCAGCGGAGGGGAGGGGGGGAAACGGACCAGAGACGAGGGGAGGGGAAGGAGAGGACGACAGAAGCTCCTCAAGGACGTCCACTGCGGTGTCCACCGCCGCGGCGATGGCAAGAAGCGGCTCCAGGGAAGCCAGGGCTTGCTCTTCCTGACAAGGCGGGGGGGGCCTCCAGATCTTCTGGTGCACGTGGCAAACGGCACTTGCGGGCACAATGGAGCGGCCCTGAAAACGTTCGTAATCTGCCACCCCCGCCCCCCACCACACACCACATCCCTTAACACGGGCAGAGAGGCATGCTCGAGAGGAAATGCCCACTGCCGACGCAGAGGCCACTAAAGGGCATCTACCGCCATATCCTCGTCGCTCTGACGAACGTCGCCAGGGACACTCTTGCCCGTGCCCTAAAACTGTGAATATGCCACCGCGCGTTCGCAAGTGTATGCAGGTATATTGCGGCCCTCTGCCGCCTCCGCAACACAAGCGGGAACTTCCAAACGACATCGATGATGATACGAGCTCACTTGGGGCTCCAGGTCACTGTTCGGTCGGAACGAAACACGCTGTCAGAAACGAAATCAGTGTAGCAGGATTAGCGACCTCCCCCCAACAAGGCGGTGGCGCATATGCGCAACACCGCACCTGGATAATCAGACACGCATGCCAGCTTCGAGCTGGCACAACATTGAAAGAGATCTCCTCTCGCTGGCCCATGGCAAAGGCCACTGCGCAGACACAGTAGTCTCCCCTCCTCCAATCCTGCCCCTCCAGTCCCATTCCATTCCCTATCCCGTCATTGCACTTTCTCCTAATCCTGATCCTCCTCCTCATCCTCCTCCTCAGCATCATCATCATCATCATCATCATCATCATCAACATCATCATCATCATCCTCATCCTCATCCTCATCCTCATCCTCATCCTCATCATCATCATCATCATCATCATCATCATCATCATCATCATCATCATCATCATCATCATCGTCGTCGTCGTCGTCGTCGTCATCATCATCATCATCATCATCAGCATCAGCATCATCATCAGAATCATCATCGTACTCATCGTACTCATCATCATCATCATCATCATCATCATCATCATCATCATCATCATCGTCATCATCATCATCATCATCATCATCAGCATCAGCATCATCATCATCATCGTCATCATCATCATCTCCAGCATCAGCATCATCGTCGTCGTCGCCATCAGCATCATCATCAGCATCATCATCAACAACATCAACAACAACATCATCATCACCATCGCCATCACCATCGACATCATCGCCATCATCACCATCATTATCAGCATCGTCATCATAATCGTAATCATCGTCATCATCATAATCATCATCAGCAGCAGCATCAGCATCAGCATCAGCATCAGAGTCAGCATCAGCGTCATCTTCAATATCCCCATTTCTTACAATTCACTCACTCCTCCCTACCCTCTCTCTCTTACCCCCCCCACCTCCACATCATCCCCCCTGGGAATCAGTGGGGGCTGTCCAGGCCATGATGCGGCCTTGGCCAAGCTCGCCCCACAGCCCTATGGTCGTAGGTTGCATGTCTTTGATAAACTGGCCGACGACCGTTTCATCCTCGTGTGCAACGAATGCGTCAAGCGACCAGAGTGTACGCCTAAGGGTATCCACAATAGATGCACCCGAGACTGTTGCTCCAAAGCAGTCGCGTGGATCGTGGCACCTCAATGGTTCTGGAAGCAAACCCATGGCCTTAACATGAGCATCGCGGAGCCTGGTGCCACAACTCTTTTGAAAGACGGGACCAAAGTGTGCGTCGGGGGGGCGTCTTGGGGACATCTTGGGCCGTCATGGGGGTCTGTTCGGGCCATCTTGGAAACCTGTTGTGCCGTCTTAGTGCTCTCTTGGACTGCCTGGAAGTCCTTTCCGGATAGTTTTGAAACGACTGTCAGGCCTCCTGGACGGCCTCCGAAGGTCAGAAGGCCGAAGAAAAGGGCATTCCCAAAATCCTGCTTCAACAGCATTAGAACCCGATGTTTTTCACAATTCGAAAACCTCCTGGGGGGGTTCTTTGGGTCGTCTTCGGGCGTCAAGTGGGTGTCTGGGGCCTCTTGGGGCTCGCGGGGGGCCGTTCTGCCACCCTCCTGACCGACTTGGGCCCGTTGCCGAAGCCCGGCAGGGGTTTCCACGAACTCCGGAAAGCCTGGGGGACCTCCTGCAGGGGCGTCGATCCCGGGCGACCCGGGGGCCCGGATCCGGGGGGTCCGGTTTCGGGGGAGGGGGCGGTTTTCCCCGCCCCCCCCCCCCCGGCTTGGAAAAATGTAGGATGAGGAATACCCGCGTTCCCTCGCAATGCAAATGTGTATGTTACCATCCCTGTCTACCTCCCTCCCCCTTTCCCTTCCTCTCTAATGCCGCCGCTATGCTTCGCCCAAACAGCGGCTCCTCCGCCGGGCGATGCCGACCCAGGCCACCACAGGACGCGACGCGATCCTTGCATGCGCGCGAGAGCAGCGCCGAATACCCTTCAGCCCCTCCTTTCTCCCTCCTCTCATCATCATAATCCTCCTGTCCCTCCCTCCCAACTCAGCATTTTGCCATCATGTTGACCAGTTCATGGGCGTTTGATATGGGTACAATTCTATGGCATGTTAGAAGTGGCCCCAGATGAGAAAATGTCCACATTGCCATGGTTATCCCTCAGGCTTATCTTGTAAGCAGATGTGCGAGTTTAGGTGTGCGATGTGATCTAACGGGACCGCCCGACACGCGCGCGGGAGCGGACCTTTTACTTCTGAACACAAATGGCTGTTAGAATAATTGCCATCGTTGTTGCCGACGCCAACCTATGTGAAAGGGGGCGGCGGCAGTGGCAATGCACACGAGGGGAGCGTTAGCAGTGACTCCCCCCGCGGCCAGTTCGGCACGAGGAGTCCGCCCACGGACGGACATCAGCCATTAGAGCTAGCGCCCCGCGTCTGCGGTGGGACGCACCAACCTGGATTCGGCACGTCCCCAGAACCATAAATCAGACTTCGCCCTCTCCCAAGGCCCCTTGGCCCCCCGCGGCGCCAACCGCAAAAAATCCTTTTACGGCGCCCGCGGAAAGGAGGGAGTTACTCCTGACACGGCCCTTGGAGACAATCCAAAACAAGCCGGAGAATCCCACGTTCAAAAGAGGAGCACTGGCGCGCGCCGCCTGGCGCTCGGCCCCCAAGGCCGCTCCAGCCCGTTGCCACGCCGCAGCATGCGCCAGAACTCTCGCAGCACAGCTCCCAGACGTCCAGAGAACACTCGAAACAGTCCCCAGATAGTCTCCTTTCTTTTTCTCTCTCTCTCTCTCGCTCTGTCTCTCTCTCTCTCTCTCTCTCTCTCTCTCTCTCTCTCTCTCTCTCTCTCTCTCTCTCTCTATATATATATATATATATATATATATATGCGTGTATAAATCCCACTCCCCCTCTCTCTCTCGCACTCCATCTCCGGACTTGTCGCCCCCGTGGTCGCCCCGGACCAAGCTGTCGTTCCAGCCGTGCCAGCTGCCCGAGCCCCATCCGGAGCTCGAAGACGACCGTTGGCCCCGCGGGCCCCAGCGCCACGGCGCAGGCTGTGGTGGAGAGGGGGTCGTCCCAAGGGTCCAGCATCGCCAGTCGGGCCCTCGTCGACCTCTGCCACGGCCGCCTCTCCCGCTCCGTCGTCATGGGCAGGGGGGCGGCGGCGCTCCGTCCTGAGCCCTATCTCTGGCGATTTCGCTCGACGATGCGGATCCCCCCCCAGACAGATGACCACCGTCCGGGGTCTTGGATGGTCAGCCGACAGCAGCGGAGTCACCGGACAACAGGTTACCCAGGTTGATTGACGGCACCGCAATCGACGCCAAGCCGCACGCCCTCCGCAGCGGGCAGAGGACCTCAGCTCCCATGGGGCTTCGCGTCACCGACCCCGCGATGGCGCGCGAACGCTCCCGCCTCGACGCTGGCGCCCGCAAAGATATGCGCGGACCTTTTTCAACAACCGCCCTCTTGCCGCCCTTCTCGGCGCCAGTCCTGCAGTCGAGCCCCCCCCAGCTGGACAAAGGGCATTCAGTAGTAGTCAGGCCCCGCGCGCCGCCCAGCACGATGAACACAGCCCAAAGAAATCCCGATTCTTGCACGCGCAAATGTCTGCGGTTGCTTGATACGGGCGTCGGGCGGCGGCAGACACTGGACCTCTGCTTCGAATTGTGACTCGGGAACAAGTGAGGCATCGCAAATACCCAGTACGGCGCTGGCAGCCCAGCCGCCGCCGAGAGTGCCCCCGCCCCATCTTGGACGACCCCTTCGCCCACTCCGCCACTGAGTTCTGCGACTGTTCGCAGGCTGCACGGAGTCATGAGCTGTCACAGGCTCGCTCGTTGGGCGCGCGTTCAATCACTTACAAGCCCGTCTGGGCTCTGGGGTCGCATCCGAGTGGACGAAAGCAAGTTGCTCGTTAGGCGCCCGAAGGTTGACCAAGAGATCCACCGCGTGCTCGGCCGACTTGTCGCGAGTGCTCTGGCTAGCCAGGAACCCTGCGCATGGGTCCCGCAGCGCCACGCACGAGTCCCACCAGCCCTTTGGGCGTGAGTGGTTTAGAGAGCCCGCTCTGTCCTCAACCCCCCTTCTTCCCCTTCGGGGAGGGGTTTACCCCTCCCCCTACCCCCTCCCCCTGGGCCTGGAGAGGGAGTCCCGACTGGTGTCAGGGGGGTCTTTTCCGACTCCTGGGAGGGCCAAAAAACGACTACCCTTACGAGGATTATGGCCCCGACGGGGGGACGGAGTTTGGCCCCTCTGCTCTTCTTTGAAGCCAAAAACATTGATTTTACGATGGTTGTGGCCCCATTTTGACCTCCTGAAGGGGGCCGCGCTCATCTTCCTTCATAGCAAAACCATTGATTTTACGAAGGTTTTGGGCTCATGTTGTCCTTTTCAGGGGGCAGCGCTCCTTTGCGCTTCTGAGGAGGTCGCAAGAGGCCCCAAGATGGCCCCAAGAGGCCCCCAAGAGGCCCCCCAAGAGGCCCCCAGAGGCCCCACAAGGCCCCCAAGAGGCACCCAAGAGGCCCCCAAGAGGCCCCCAAGAGGCCCCAAGAGGCTCCAAGAGGCCCCCAAGAGGCCCCACGAGGAGCCCGAACGACTCACACCAGGACGAGGGGCCCGAACGACTCACACCACGAAGAGCCCGAACGACTCACACCACAAGGAGGGGCCCGAACGACTCACACCAGGACGAGGCGCCCGAACGACTCACACCACGAGGAGCCCGAACGACTCACACCACGACACGGGCCCCGAACAACTCACACCACGAGGAGCCCGAACGAGTCACACCAGGAGGAGGGGCCCGAACGACTCACACCAGGATGAGGGGCCCGAACAACTCACACCACGAGAAGCCCGAACGACTCACACCAGGACGAAGAGCCCGAACGACTCACACCACGAAGAGCCCGAACGACTCACACCAGGAAGAAGGGCCCGAACGACTCACACCAGGACGAGAAACCCCAAACGACTCAAATCACGAGGAGCGCTTTCTCTCTCTCCTCCTCCGCCTCGTCCTTCTCCCGCCCCCCCCCACAAGGAGGATGTACAAGGAGGCGGGAGGAAGGAGGAACAGGGGAGATATGCGGGGCCAAGCGGACATACGCCTGAAAAACACGACTGTCGGCATGTTTCGCAAGAGTTGCTGCTGTGAGATGGGCTGGTGGGGATACGCGAAGCGTAAAGAATTTTCTCCAAACAGCCCCCTCGAGAGCTCATCAGCCGCGGACCATCTGCCCACGGCGCAAAGGCCCCCGAGCTTTGTCCAGGACGAAAAGAATGCATTGACACAACTTGTTCTTACACGTTCCTGGGAATCTGGGATTTCTACCAGCCTTCGCGAGGGGTACATTTTGCGTCGAGTATTGTCCACAATGCCTGGCGCCGCTGCTCGGCCACCCTTTCGCGATCGCACGGTCGCCCGTAGGGGGCTATATGGCACCTGCTGATCCCACATCTCGATGCCGAGCGCGAGGGGGAAGGTGGCGCGCCGCCCTGTCGCCCGCCACCGCGCACTGAGCGCCACGAGGGATTCCAAAAACCTGGATGGCAAGACATGCTCGATTCCGCACAATTCGCCTGGCGTAGATTTGAAACATCCAAGGGTGATAATAAAGTGCCTGGTCTGCTTCTTGAGAACATTCGGAACCGATTATGAAGCGCGGAAAAGTGGTTAAATAATCCGAAACCGATTTTGAAAAATTCCCGAAATCTGGACTAGTGAGATGCACTGCCCGGCGGGCACAGTCCACCCCTCAAATCTTTGTCTTGTAAATTCCAAATTCCTTATAGTTTAATGTGTGTCTATATATTGTATATCCCGAATCGCTTTTGCGAAGACCCCCCCCCAAAAAAAGCAGCGTTTTAGAAGCGGTCTACAATCCAGAAATAATAATTCCCGGTCGGCCCGACGGGCGCGGCCGGCTGATTCGCGCGCCGCGCCGCGCGCGATTGGGCGCACCACGGCCCCCGCCCTGCGCCCGCGAAAAAACATCCGAAAGGGTTGCATCGAAAATCGCGCCCCGCCAACTGCGACTCGCGGACTTCCCAAGAGCAGAACATAATGCTGCTCGGAAGCACCGAGGGCGCTGCGACGCGCAACAATTGCACTACGCACATCACGCGAAGGACCTACGCGACGGAATGCGCTTAACCGCCCGCCCCTGAAGCCCGCGCGACAGAACAAGAAAACCTGGAACGCTTGAAAGCTATCAAAACCAATACTTCATGCTCATCTGACTGTCAGCTCAGAGCGTGGCATGAGCTGCTTGTAGGCCGTGTTCTAAGTATGCCTCTGCTGCGCCCTCAGCATCTTTGCCGATTGGCAGGTAGGACAAAGTAGGGCAGCAAGGATTATTCGACACATGTGTCAATAAGTACTGCCGAGAGACGGCCTCTCGCGTGAGGCGAGCGATTTGGGGCGCCCCCGCGGGCTCGGCACCTCCGCCTGGGTCTTGGGCGAGGTCGTCGCCGACTAGGTCTACAACGCCTGGCCCCTCGGGCGCAGTCTCGGCGACCCCGCCGTCGCCTGGGGCCCGCGCCGCTGCCGAGCCACGCGACGCAATCGCGCGGAATCTTCGGTCTTGGCAACACTACCACGAACACGGTCACTGGACAGCGTCGGCAAGGAGGGCACGCTTGCGGCATGACCTGTTTCGGAACTGGTTCAAGCCAAGTCTGCCGCCTTCTGGGGCCGACTGTAGAAGTAGGTGAGAATGTCTCATCCGCACAACGTTGCACCTCCGTCGGCGCGGCCCCCGCCGGCTCTGTCAGACGTTCTCTCCATCTTGTCGTTCTCAGAGGAGCCTCGGCTATCACCTTTTGCGAGCGCATCTCGAGGGCCGCGAAGCACCTGGCCGCCCGGCGCGGGGGGGGGCCCACCAGACCAGGGCCAATCAGGGAAGACCTCGCGTTAGCCACCACGCAAGCCCACCG